AAGCAGCTGAATCTGCCTCTGCAGTATCTACCCCCAGGTACTCAGGAGTCACAGGGCTATGTCAAACAGACTGGTGAGAACCTGAACTACATCACTGCCAAGTTTTTCAGAGTTGCATATGCATCCAAAAACAGTTGTCTATTAGAGAACAGACCGTCTTTAGCTCAACTGCTGCCCAGCCTCAGCACTGGCACAAGCTCCCAGCAGAGACTCCCAGCAGAGACACAACTGGGCAGCAGTGCACTTGTATTGGCCTTGCTTATTCTGGTTTTAGAGGTGGTTCTGTCCTGATGAACTGTAGAAAAGTGCAATTTGCAAGAGTCCCACACTAGCAATCCTCTCCCAGTAAATCACTCTGAACATGTATAGTTTGGCAGAGTGTTACCCATATGTTGTGTGGAGTTTAACTGCTCAGAAAGCTCTGTTGAATCCAAAGGGCAACTGACAATATAAATAGGAGTTGGTGGGAGGAATACGTTACTCCTGATAGTGCATGGTGGATGCACTCAGCAAGGTGTTACCTGGCATAAAAAACTAGCTAGGGCTTTGTGAGTAACTATAGAGGAAGACAATTTTCTCAGATCTCTGTACACAGCCAATACATCTCATAACAGCCTCCTATTTCCTCTGGGTAAAACAGGATTGATATGGGCTTTGTGGTCCAGCAAAGATTTAGCCTAGAGATTCAAAGAATTTAAGATTTCTTCAAGCCCCTCTTTTCAGTACCATACCACCTATAAACAATATTTTGAATATTAAACATCAATATTGAGTCTCTTATCTTCCAGCAGTGACCACATGTGTCAGCATCGTGGTGCAAGGAGGAAGAGCTACTCTCATTGTAAATAACTGCTGATTTTGCTGAGCACAAAGGCCAGGATCTGTGTCCATCAGGTTTTCCTTGTATTTTCCTTTGGGCCACAACCACAGCACCACAGTCTCCAGAAAACACACAGATTCAGAGGCACACCACAGTAATGCAGCTTTGTTCAACCATATCAGATGCAAATTTCTTCCATGCGATGAGAGGACATTTTAATTTCAAATCCAACTGAATTAACCACAAATACATATAGACTAGGAAGTAGGAAAAAAAAGTCCAGTCACATGGAGAACAGAAGTTCTGAAGTCACTGGGGCATCCACAGTAGAACTTTTTCATGTTTAGGGACTAGACTGTCTGACATTACAGGGCCTTCAGTTTGTAACCCCATCTTATTTTCCCATATTCTGTAATACAGTGCCTACACTGGGAACCTATTATGACTGGTATTGCTTCTAAAAGGAAGAATATTTTAAATTATTTTAAACAAAATGTAATTTAAGAAGCTAGAGCCTGTGACCTCTCTGTTGAACTCCTTAAGAGCATAAATCCCACAACTGCCCTCCAGTATGGTATCCTTGCAACAAGGATACAAATCTGTTTAAACAACAGAGGGGCTACATTCAATTCTTAAGCCCTTCCTAATGAAATCTTGCATCTTGTAAGCAAACACTCTTATAGAAGCAATACTCATCAGCAATAAACAAAAGCCTTTTTAAAATTGAGTCCTGGATGCCCTAATTCTTAATGGGCTTTCTACAATGTCTAATACATCCATTTAGACTGCATATTATATTTATTTTTTTCAATTCAGTGAGAAATTAGAGACTATTACCCTTATTTCACATTTTAAAGCCAAATTATTTTTCTTTTACAATCCAAATCAAAATTCAGTGTTCTATTTCATTTGGGAGTATTTTTGAAAACTATTTAGGACCACGAGGGGAAGATAGGGAATTCCATGTGTATGTTTTATCTGGAATTAGGCCAATGATCAAAACAGTGAACAGTTTAGACCATCCCATGCTAGAGAAATTGTTGAATGAGCTATCTATCTTAAAGAATGTGCCTTGCCCAACTAATAAGGCTCAAGACCCAAATCTGTTCAAGCAAGACCAACTGAAAATTGTTAACAATTATTGATGCCTCCCATAGCTCTGTATAAGTTTTGCATGGATATCAGCTTGGCCCACTTTGTATTTTATGGGAGAACATCCCTCAGTGGTTATCAGGCATTGATGGTGGCAGACTGATACATCACCGAATACCTGGCACACTCTTCAAAGAGGGAGTGGAGCCCTGGCCTCTCCTCTCAAAGCACGGCCAAATTGCAGGGCAAGGATGCTGGTAACACCCCTACCAGTGTTCTGGGCCTTCTCCCTCTCTCCCTCCCTCGTGCTCCCCCTGACTTGGTGAATATTGACATTTTCTTTTACGTAAGGGGATAATTTAAGCCAGACTGGATACTCTACTGAGTAGCTCAGATCCTGCCTAAAAAATAATTCTTATGGGCTATTGGATGTGAGGGGCCACATCCTGATAGGGTGCTGAAGGGCTAAATGCAAAGAATTTATGGTTCTCTTCTTTCTCATTTAAGACAGAACATATTTACTGGAATATAACCCTCCCTTATTATGCCATTTATAGGAAACACATAATCAGTGTTTATAAAGCAGTTAATTTATAACAGACAAAACCAGATTATCTGTCTTTGGAAGAGCAAATATTTGTTCAAAAACTTCTAAATGGGACAGACATCTTCATCTCATTTTTAAACATAACTGATTGAGTAACATAACAGAAGAGCTACCTAATAGGTAAGATAATATTTATATGAAGCATTTAGATTGTAAAGGAAAGATTATTATATCTTTTATATATATATAATACAATGTTATACATTTATCAATGATTCTCTAGATGTGATGCTTTAAATGGTTGTAGACCTTAATCAGCTTCTAATGGATTTTTCTCTTGCTCTAATGCCTTCAGAAGAAAAAAGCATTTGTACAAGAAGCTTCTTTCTTTGATACTGATATTACTAAAAATAAATATTTCTTTAAATGGAAGTAATATTCACTTTGCTCTAACACACATTTATTAATGAACTGTCTGCTCTCCAAATAAACTGAGTTGTCTAAAATTAGCAATAAGCTTCACTCGGATCTAAAAATACAAGTCTATAATGTACATAAATTCTACTTTATTATTCCCAGAACTGTTTTTGAGAGAACTGTTTTTGAGAACTCCCAGAACTGTTTTTGAGAACATGTCCTCTAGTTCTAGAGGACATGCTCTATTTCTATCAGTAAAGGTGAATGATACAGATCCTTTAATGTTAACTTTAAATGTTTGCAATCTCAGATGATTACTTAGTGCAACTGAAAGGTTTTTATTCCTATGTTCATTGCACCCAAATCAGTAGCAGATGTGTTATGTGTTTGCCTGAGGATTCAGGAATCTTTTCTTGAGTGTTGAATAGTTTAGGATAAACCTGTAAACAAGAGCTTCTGTGTTTGTCCTGCCCTTTCTGTCCAAAACCTCTTTGTGTTGGGAAGGCAGAGCCCTCTGGAAGGCAGCTCAGCACTTTGCCCAGCCAGTCCCTTCACATCTCCTGAGGAAAGCTGGTGGCCACTTGAGCCAAGTCCTGTTCCAGATCTCCCAGAGAGAAGCAACAGTGATGTCTGCCAGATGCAACACTGTGTGCAGGAATTGCTCCCTGCCTAGAAAAGATGAGGAAGGGCTTGTGCTCTGCAATACTCGGTGAGCAGTTAGGCCTGATGCTAACTGCATTTAGAGGGACGAATTGATGCTGCAGTGATTGAATATGATCAAAAGCAAAATTTTCCAGTCCCTGCCTCTTTGCTAGAGCTGACTCTGCAGTCCAAGGATGCTTCTTCAAAGTAGGGATGATTCCCAGAGGAAAGAACCTCCTTCTTTGCTGCCAGGGCAGGTGCAGCACTGCGGCAGGAACAGGACCCCTGTGCCTGTGCTACTTCCCACAGAAGTGGGTCACTACACAAGCAGAGGGAATGCTCAGCAGTTACTGCACTAGCTCTGAACTGCACTGCTTCAGCCTGCCAGGGGACAGTGAGTGTCCCAGCACTCCAGATGTCGCAGGCACCGCTTTGACCAGCAAGGCAGGAGCTGAAGTCAAGTCATCCCCTTCCCTACTGCAGTCCTGAAAATCCAGACACTGGAAATCTCATTAGAAATAAATCAAGGGTTAATGGGAAAGAAAACTAAATAAAAAAATATTCACAACATATTTGCTGCATATTTTGCTCTGTTCTCTGTCTGCCATGCACTCGAGAGCAGGCATAACATTCATCGAATTCGCTGCCTCCCGATTAAGTCATGACAGCCCATCTGTGCTGCAGCAAGTACAGAACGTGACCTATTATCTCCAAAGAAAATAGCACACCACCTGACTGCCAAAAGCACCTCGTGACTTGGCACCCAAATGTCTCAGTACTCACATCAACATACCTTTTCAGGACTAACTCCCACAGCCTGAATCAGCCAACTGTGAAATTCAGCTGAACTCTGAATAAACCAGATTAAACCAGCTTTCCCATATGCCGAATCACAAATTATACAGTGACCGTAATTTGCTGTTACAGATCCTTAGCTTAAAAGGAGTAGTTAATGATTGCCACGTGATTCTAGACTGTTGAATCGCTTACTACTGTAATGATGGGCCATATAATCCATCTTTTAATCTCATTTATCCCTTTGCCCACTGCTATACAAAAGGAATCTGTGCAGGTTTAGTGGTCTTGAATATCCCATTTTATTTATAATGGGAAAATGCATCTCCAAAGATTGTAGCCATTCAAAAATTTTCCATGAGGTGCAATTCAACATTGCTGTATGGGAGAGAATTCATATATTGCTTTATGGAAAGATGGATGATAATCATATTTGCACTATATGCAAAGTGCATTTCATTTGCAAATTTACACAATGTTTGATTCTAAGGTTTGCCTTGGGTGTCCTGTAAGATCTGCCTGGTCTTCTCTAAACATTTTGTTGGCCAGGTTTGGAGTGTATACCCTGAAGATGCAGAAAGACCACTACATCTTTTACCCTTTGCATTGTGAATGGAAGAACAAACTAAAAAGTAATTTTGTTGCCTTTCTTTTTTTCTAGGAAAACCAATTCTAAATAGTTCATTATTGGATGTCAACATGAAAGCAGGAATCTATATACTTCTCTTAAGTGAAATATGTTTTGAATTCATCCGGGCTGATATCAAACCTAAATTTCCAATGGTGGAAAAAGAGAGTAATTTCTTGGAAAGAAATAACATCAGTATTTCCAAAGAGTGGTATCATCACAAAAATATCTCTAAGCCTTTTGAACACCAAAGTTTTGAAGACCAAGGTCTTGAAGATTTCACTCTTCACAACTTCACTGAAAAGACCACAAATTTTGGATTTAACCTCTACAGAAAAATTGCAATGACACATGATAACAATGTAATCATCTCTCCATTTTCTGTGTCAGCTCTCATGAGTGTCTATATGATGGCAACCAAAGGAGAAACACACAGACAAATTGTAAAAGGTCTAAACCTCCATGATGTGAAGGACAGAGTGGATAGCCAACATTTACCAGCTTTGTTTAAACAACTGACAGGTAACATCACAATGAATGAAGAATTTCTCCTCATGCGAGGTGTTCTTTCTTTTATTCAAAAGGACTTCAAACTCAAGGAGTCTTTCCTGAATTTATCTAAGCAGTACTTTGATATGGAATTCCTGAAAGTAGACTTTGAAAACTTAACACAGGCAAAACTTTTCATCAATCAAAAAATTAACAAAATGACAAAAGGAAAAATCCCAAGACTTTTTGAAGAGCTGGACCGCCATAACAGAGTGGTGCTTGTGGACTACATTTTCTTTAAAGGTAATTGCTGTTTTTTTTATGCAGAATAATTATTTATTAGGAGAATCAAGACTCTAACTTCAGCTACATTAGGGGGAGTTTAAATGAATTTAGACGTCCTATTTTCTCTATGTCTTTATCTAAGATTACTTTTTTCTATTAAGCTCATGTAATAGGAAATTATTTTTTATGATAGGAAACCACAATTTTTCTATGCTATCTTCCATAAAATAGAGTCTCAAAGAGAACAAAAAGCCCTGTATCAAGCTATCTCAGTCCATCTCCCAGTTATCCCTCTTTATGACAGGAAACATGTTTTATTTTAATTCACCCATTAAAATGAAAAAGTCTTAATCATAATAGTCTTAAATGCTGAATACTGGGCATAAAATCATGCACTGATTTAACATAGTATACAAAATCATTGAAACAAAAATAACTTCCCTATTTTCATCAAGAATCATCTGTCCCATAGGAACCCAAGAATCCCATTATATTACCTTACAGGGGGAGGGAAAGAAATACCAGAGATGGTCAGAAACCATTCCATGGAGAAGTCAGTGAATCCCCATCCAAAATATTGGATAATTAAATTAAATACAGGATACTGAACAGCTGATAGACAATTTCAGAGAAGGTTACATGTTACAAAAGGTCAGATGCTCACCAGGCATTGATAAAACAAAGATAACATAAATTCTGAACTTGAGTGGCAACTAACTAACCTTAGAAAAATACTTCTCTTCTTTCTGTGCAAATGAAGCAGTTTATTTTGTGGATTACTTTGGGGTTTTTTCTGTAAAAAAATTTATATACAATAAACATAAAATATACTGAAATTGTCATCCACTTATCCCAGACACAACTGACAGTCACTTCAACTAGATACAGAAAATATCCTATAGGTTTTTTAACTTTTTAGAATATTTTTCTGAACAAATCTAAACACACATAATGATTTAATTTCTTTCTTTCCTCAGGCAAGTGGGTCTATCCATTTAATTCCAAATTCACGGAAATTGAGACTTTCCACATAAACAAATACAGAAGTGTACAAGTACCCATGATGTTCAAGTCAGATAAAATTAATTCCACTTTTGATGAGAACTTAAGATGCACTGTGATAAAGATACCTTACAAAGGGAATGCCCACATGCTGATTGTTATCCCAGAAAAAGAGGGAGACTACATTTCAATTGAAGACCATTTGACTGCAGAGCTTGTGGAATCCTGGTTTGGAAGCATGAAATCCAGGTATTGCTTTGACACCCATGGGGCCCTAATGTCTTTGATGTCCACTGCAGAAAAGCAACAAAGCCCAGCAAAGATTAGCTGGTCTTCCTGAGCCTTTTCCCATGGTAGCATCTCTGTGGCAAGAGCTATCTACAGAGTAGGGGTCCTTTAATGGCCTATCCACAGCCCAAGTGGCATGTGAAAGTTGTGACTTACAGGCAACAAAACTTCAGCTCATCTCAGTTAAAAATGTCTCTCTCTGTGAGAGAAGGCATGAGTCTTTCCACATTCTTCCTTAGGTCTCTTCTCTCTTTAAATTTAGTACTGCCAAGCAAAACCCATTATTAATCTAGACATTTATTAAACATTTCCTACCTGGGGAAACCCAGAGGAATTGATAAATTTGAATATAAAAAGGTAAACCCAAATAATTCCTGTGAAATGTAGTTCCTGAAGTGAAAATTCTTTTCACCAGTCAATAAATTAGTGTGTTGCCCTGGTATCAGGGCACTGTGACTGTTGGTGGAAGTATTTATATAGAGAAGAAAATTATTTGTAGCATCACTGGCAGGCAACAGGTTAGAAATTATTTTCTGCAACCTAAATGCCAGCAGAGACTCTCCAGTTTTTGTCCCTTCTTTTTCTGTGTAAAGCTTAATTCCTGAGTAGTGTGCATTTCAGCAGTAAAGTGACTGTTTGCATTAATTAAATTTTTTTTAACAGAAAAGTGGATATTTCATTTCCAAAGTTTAAACTAGAGCAAAAATACAAAATGAAGAAACTGCTTCAAAGTCTTGGAATTAAAAAGCTTTTTACACGTTCAGCAGATCTTAGTCATCTGACAGATCACGAATATGTAGCGGTTTCACAGGTAAGCCCACTAAAATTATTTGTTTGGATTATAATAATATATAAACAGCCCAGCCAAGATGGTCATATAAATTTATAGGGACACTAACAGCAAAGTACCTCATCAGCCAGGTATGTGCAATCTACACATCTTAATCAGGATGGATCCCACTTCAAGTATGAGGTGTGTAAGGGAAAGAGGCAGTCACATCTCATAGGTGCTCAGCACCTCCCAGACCTAACCCATCACAGGAGAAAAGCTCTGCCTCAAGAGGAATATGGTTGGCAGAGAATGGGCACAATTTCACAAAAACTGTGAACAAGAAAGACAATGTAAATGAGAGTCAAATGGTAAAATCCAGGGCAAGGAAGGAAATTCAAGGAAAGAACTCCTCATAGGCATTCCAGAGACAGTTATACTTCTCAAAAAATAAAGAACCTTAGAAAGTTTAAACAATAAAATCTCAAAAAGGCAACAGTGAGGAAGAGAAGTCAAGGCACTCCTGTTTTTCCCTTTATATACCACGGAAGAAAAAAAACACAATCTCACAGGCAAGGATTGGCACTCCAACCCATACAGATGTTCCACCGTGTATGCTGAAACTTTCAAAGAACCTTTAGACAGGTAAAGGCAAGGGCAGTGAATAGCCAAGAAGGCAGGAACACAGCCCCATGGAAAAAAAGGAGCAGGAAGAAATACTTTGTACCACTGTTTAAGGGAGAGCACAGATGAAATTTAAAAGACTGATGGAAAACAGAGGCAGAACAAGAAGCAGAAGAGAATGGAAGACAAAGGACTTGTCAATCACATCAATATCAAGAAGGAATAGGTCTATGTGACCAGAGATATCTTATGAAAAACAAACAGCTAGTCTATAAAAAGGACAACTTGCTGATAATAGAAAATTAAAATGCACTGTCAAAGAAAGGAGATGAAAGACAAAACACAGAGATACTTGTGCCCACAAGAATGGAGTGTGTGGAATGAGATGAAAAACAATGAATTCTAAATAAGAATTCATACATTACAGTAAAAGTTAAAAAAAATTACTGAAACAAGATGAATTATAAACAAGATCCAAATAAAATTACTCTGGCACAGGATTTAAAAATGTAGCTTTATAAACTTATGTAAGAAAATTGTAGCATGCAACTGCTCCTGGTTGTGGAGGGTTGTATGGCAGAGACAATCCAGGACCACAACTCCAGGAGAGGCTTCCCAGAATCACAGAATGGTTAAGGTGGGAAGGAACCTCTGGAGGTCACCTGGTCCAACTCCTCTGCTCAGGCAAGGTCACCTTGAGCAAGTTGCTGAGGTCCATGTCCACACAGCTTTTGAATATCTCCAAAGACGAAGAATTCAGTGTGCCAGTGCTCAGTCAGCCTCACATGAAAAAGCATTTCCTGGGGTTCAGAGGGAACCTCCTGTGTTCAAACTTCCTCTGTTCAAACCTCCTGTGTTTCACTTGGTGCCCACTGCCTCTGGTCCTGTCACTGGGCACCACTGATGAGCCTGACTCCACTTCCTTTGCACCCTCCCTTTGGGTATTTGTACCCTATGAGAAAGAATCCTTCTGGTGCTGCTCTTACAAGTCTCCCTACACCATATAGAAGCCTTTGTGCTTAGCCAATTAACAGGGTGGGATAATAAACACTTCTATACAAGTTTCAAAAACTCTCATACTTGATCTAAAGGTTTTCAAAATTGCAGTGGCTTGAGAAAAAAACCTTTCTGAGAAGATCTAACATGCTAAGAATAAATATTTAATGGATAAAATTGCAGAGATTTTCAGTTTGGTATGAACTATTTCACTGTTGGGAAATATAATGGCAATCTGCAGCACTTTTCTCCCTTCTTCTTGATCCTGTAACTTTCATGCTGATTCTCAGCAGTTAACTATTGTGTTATCAAAAAATCACACTTTAACAGGAGCTGCTAACTGATATTAGAAGCAATATGTGCATCAGCTACAGAGTGCCAGAGGAGCATCCTGTCCCTGGGAATTGTGAAAGACAAAAATATTATTTAAAAATATTTAGCAGAAACCTCAACACTGGTGAAGTCCTTCAACTGTTTTCACATAAGTAATTCCTAGAATTGGGAGTTTAGGAACTGTAAATCCACTCGATGACCAGGCAGTTCACCAGTACAGACACTAACACAGCAGAAGCACTCACAGGTATAAGCAGCCTGAAAGAACAAAATGGAAAAGATGAAAAAATGAAAAATCAGATTCTGCCAGGCTGCAATTTCAGTGAGAGTGGAAAATATTCTAACCAATCCAGGACTGTACCTCATTGCTCTACATATTTAGATAGACTACCAAATTTGTACATTTGGTAGTCTGTGCTACCAAATGTACAAAATAGAAATATGCAGGAGAAAAAAACAAAGATTAACTGCTCATTTTAGTCCTTCACAGAAGCCTACTTCAACTGAATGCCTTCAGCTGGAAAAATACTCTTGAGGTTAGTATTTACTTCTGTCACATAGTTATTTCTGCCTTGCACTTCAGGTTGTCCAAAATGCAGTTATTGAAGTGGATGAGGAAGGAACTGAGGCTGCAGCAGCAAGTGGCTCTGAAATAACTGCATTCACAGTGCCTCCTGTCATCAAAGTGGACCGGCCATTCCTTTTCATGATTTTTGAAGAAACTTTTAAAACATTACTGTTCATTGGCAGGGTGGTTGATCCAACAGAAATGTGAATAAAGGTAATCGTTTCTATTCTTTGGTATGTAAGAGGTTTTATTTTTAATAATTTATTTTATAATAAAAAGACAATTAAATGTGAAATGTGAAAATCTGTTCTGTCTATCCTAGCTAGCACCAGGTAATCCTAGCAATATTTTATTAATGCCACAAAACAAGCTAACTTCATTAAGGCTCAAAGCAACAAAAATGTGACTTGTAAAATCTACCTTTGGTAAAAGAAAACCCAACAACCACAGAAGAAATTTCTAAAATCAGTATTTTAGTGATAAATCTGAATAAAAAGCCCCATTCAAATGCCAAAATATTCAGGAAGCTCATTGCCAAACACTGCAGATTCCTCAACATTTTCTTCTGTTACAAAGAGACTGAAGAGCCCAATGACCTCAATGTTAGCAGAATTTTGCCAGTTATACAAACAGAAGCAGTATCAAGTCCTAAAAGAGAATTTACAACCTTTTTCTAGAGATCTTTATTACTGTAGAAAATAAGTCTATCATGAAGTCTGTGTTGTGAGTCTGACCTCTTTCAAAGCATTTATGCAGACTATCAAATCACCTCATTTTCTCAGAGTACATGATGTGTCTTGAAAATATTCTTTGAATTTAAAAAAAATTAGTTCTGAAGAATAACTTAGGTATTCTGATTTTTAAAAATCTGGCCTGTACTGTTTCATAGCACAAAGCTAGCCCTCTCCTAACCCCAGAATTTCTGCCTGTAACATCATCTAGACACCAGGGTGAACTTTGTAACAGGACTCTGTAATTGAAATAAGGTAGACTTTGGTAGGAAAAAACATACCTCCATCAGAGTGTAATAAATCTATTCACAGAGTTGATCCTAAAATCCAAAGGTGCTGCCATGATGTTTTAGAAAAATATTTCAGAAATATTTTCAGAAAAATATTTCCATGACCTAACAACAATTTCCTTTATTTGAGTAGAGCAGTGCATCCAACAGAATGACAAGATGTTAACATTTAATAGATTTTAATTAGCAGAGTCCTATCTATAAAGTACAAAACAATGCAAAAAGCTACTTCCAGGTTTATGTAACTAACAGATGTCAGCATTGTTCTGCTTGCTCATACAACCTTCACAAAATAATTGCCCAAAAAGGAGCAGAAGACTTTCCAAAATCATTTGGCAAGGAACTTCACAGGTGTCTATCAGTAAACACAAGATACTTCTGCTAGAGAAGATACAAAAGATACATTATAGAATAAAGCTGGTAAGTCTCTAAAAATCACCTCAGTCACCATGTGGTGTCTGCCCACAAGAGCCCAGACACTGATGTACCCCACTCACCAAAGGACTTAGGAGGCAGGCTCTGCTGGCTAGACTATGATGGTGCATCTAACCTAGCTCCAGACTGCATTTAATGTATCCAGAGAGAGAATCACTCCTTCTGCCACTTGTCTATATGAAAACCAACAAATGCCACTGCACAGTTGACCTTCAGCTGTTATTCCAGCAGGTATAAACAGTGCTCTGAAGGGTTCAAATGCATTGGTGCTGTTTAACAGAACTAACCCAGAAGTAAGTGACCCCTAAAAAGACTGCTTGGATGGAGGTCTGCAGTGCAAAGGAGTGATGAAAGTATGCACAAGACACCAGAGGTATTGCACAAGGAAAATGACCAGTCCAAAAATGTCTAAACAGAGCATTTCAAGATTACATTGAAAGAATTTCAGGTTATTGAGTAGAGCACATGTTATCAGCATTAAATAAGTCAGTTTAAAATGACAGACAGTGACAGCCAAGAAGGAACAAAAGATAGACTGCTTACAGAACTCATTACCTGCTTATTAAGGGGAGAAAGAGCTTTAATTTTCTGAACTTACTGGCTGTTCTGCATTGCTCTGCAAGGCATGAAAAGAGCAAACACAGTGCTGAGTCCTGCTCTACAGCTGGCTACTGATGATCTGAGTTTGGTGCTGCCAAAGGTCACACTGAGAACAGCCTGGGTCTCCTGTGGCCCACGGGGGAGCAGCTGTAGCTGTGCCTGGGGAACTGGGGGTGTCTGCTTGCATCAGTGCAGAACCCAGGAGGAGCCAGCCCAGGTCATCTGCACACCTCTATCCATACTGTTAAACATCATAAACTCAAAGAAGCTTTTAAAGAAATCTGTGATTTACAGGATCCTATCCCAGGCTGCGAAACAAACTGAAAAATTAAGTATTTCCAGAGAACCCAAATAATGCCTGTTGACTTAAGACAGAGTATACTGCTAAATCTAACTGAGGCGTAGGAAGCTTAAGCATTCAGATAGTGCTTAATGCAAAGAAACATTTTGTACTTCACACAAGACAGCACACACCCAGCATTATTAGTATTTTAAATAAATACCCTCCATAGGTAAGTGCTTTTATTAATTTTAATTATAAAAGATGCCCTGAGAATTTTTCTTTCAAGAACATGCATGTACAGCATTGTCCTAGGTTTTATTTTGAGTAAATCATCATTCATGTTTTTACATTATAAAAAGTAACCACACTCACATATGCATACACAGACCAGATTATCTTTATCATACACCAATAAATTTTAAAAACCATATATTTCTGATATCAATATATTTATGCTGCCTCCATTTTGAAAGAGAAGCTGACAATAGCTTCATAATCTCCCTCAAGTATTGGCATAAATAGAACTCTTCAAAATGTGATTGCATGTTTTTCCACATAAATTTTGATAGAAACATTAGCATTAATACAAACAAATGCAGATGACATCACTGAACCATGACAGCTTGCAATAGCAGCTGATTAAAAACTAGATTCATTATTATAAATTATTAAAGTGAAAATACAATTTGAAATACTAAAATTAAAACAAGTTATTATACAACAAAACTTATGAAATACAGCTTTTTTTTACATCATCTGGAGACATTTGCTTTTAGATTGCTTTGAAACTCACACAGGATTTTTATGAACTTAGCACTTGTAAAAACATTAATTCCAAATTCACAGCACAATGCTTCAAAAGTCTATGTTTTTTTTATAATGGTTCTGGACTTTGGTCTTAAATTAGGTTTGCAGATTCTTTAAAATGTGGGATTCCTTTTTCATATTCATAACAATTCCTTCTATCTCTTCCTTAAAATATGGGAACTAAAGGTTGCTAAGATTGTAAAGAAGCCAATTAAATAATGTGCATTCTAAATCCAAGACTTCAAACTATAAAGGCCTAACTGAAGAAAACAAAATCTTCTCCTTAGCTGCAGCAGTTAAGAGCACATAGCTGAAGTTACAGTTCATATCATTTCACTACGATGTTAGAATTCTGCAACCATTACATTGTTTATCAGAACATATTTTACAGCTTGGAATTTTATATAAAAGATTTATCTTAAATTTTTAACATTGCAGGATGCATTTTATTCAGTTCAGGCATTAGAGAGTCCCATCTGCTGCTCCCACCTTATGCCACCACAACGTTGTTTCCTCCAGTCTCTGGTTCCCTCATTTTTCTGTCAGGTGATCTAGGAGTTTGATTTTCTGTTTTTTCTTCATATAAAAGAAGAAACACACATAATATGTTGTTACTATATTACTAACTTGCATAACATATTAAACTGCTATTGTGCAGAACATTTTAACATAGCTCTTAGCTGCTGTACTTTATGAGCTGTTCTATTGCACCCAGTGAAAAAGCCAAATGGATATATTCTGAGGGCATTCCTCTCAAGAAGGGTGAAGTTCTCCACTCAGGTGTTTAGAGAAGTTCTTGTGGAGATCCATCTGAGTGAGATGATTAAGGTGGCACAGTCTATTCATGGCTACTTTTGGCTATGCCAAAAGTCTGGCACATTGCTCTGTGATTTCTAGCTGTTCTGTTGACCACAAGGTCATTTGGATAATTTATGGATTTTTCATGCCTAAATATTTTAATCTTTAGATATACTGTTTTTCAATTTCAAAGAGCTGTAGCTGTCAATTAACAACTATTTGTATCAGACAAATATTTCCAAGATTGGTGTAACTTTTAGAACTCTTGGAAAAACTAATTTGCATCAATATTTTACAGTATCATTTACAAAAAAAAAACAATATATTGTTCTGTTTCACTGCTTTAAAACTGCTGAATATTTAAAAATGGAATATATTATATGATAATATATCAGTGTCAGGATACCTACTAGTTTTATCATAGAAATGGGACACAAAACACATGCCAGTCCCACTGGAACTGGGAACTTCCAGCATCTTAAATGTGATGATGAAAACATGAATAACAGCTGTAAGTAACTAACTCCAAATGTAGTAGATCAGTGGCAGAACTATTTCATCTTGTGCTTAACTTTCTAAGCAATTATAGGACTGGATGAAAGATATATAACTGGTACATGCAGCAAACTGGATGTCTTATAGGTCATTTGTGGACGTCTTATAAAATACTGGTATTTATTCAGATTTATTGTTGCATAAAAATTAATTTACTAATAATAAATTAGACTTTTCTAATAATAAATTGGAAAATTAATTTTTATGCAACAATAAATCTACTCCCTCTTTTTAAAAGATGGAAAACCTGTACCACACATCCTTAAAGAAAGTTTTGATTAAAAGTGAAATAATATCAGCCAATATTTGTATGTCTATAGGCAAGATGCAAAATACTTAAATGCTATATATATCTATATCTATATCTGTGAAGTGGATCTGTTCATTGACAAATCTATAAAGTTTCTAAATAGTTTTAAACAATTGCATGTTGAACCTTTTCAGTCATATTATAGCAATATAAACTCAAGCAAAACATCTTATATCTAACAATCTCATAAAACTGAAAACATTCAAAAGAATATAATAATGCTACATGGCCTAATGATAGAAGATCAGACTGCTTGATAGAACACAGTGTTCATGATTTATGTCAATGTCTGCACTAGGATGATTCATGATCTAACTGGCAACTCTTCAACAGAAAGTCAGAAAAACTTCTCTGCTCTGCATATTAAGCAAGATCTCTTGTGGGACAAAGTACTCAAC